TTACTGACCCAGGGGGACCCCAGCTTCGGTTCTTGACAGCATCATTTCCAGATCACGGGTAGAGCGGACCTTCTCTGGCTTGGGTGACGGCCACAACACTGGCCTCTGTTGCCCCTGGGCAAGAACACACACTGGGATACATGAACCCTTGGTCCACGGCAGTCAGTGTGATCTATTCAGTCCGGCAGGGGCTCTGTGGGATCGTCACCTCCTTCCTGATCCTTTTTACTGGAAATACGAAGGATTGAACTTCGGACTTCCAACAAGCCAAGCAGATGCTCTGCCAGGGAGCCCACAGCCCCTCCCCAAGGAGCGAGACAGGCCTCCAAACTGTGAATAGCTATTCTATATTTGGATTCATGCCTCCTCACAATGGCTGCAATTTGCACCTTTGGCACCAAGGAAGGCCACATTCTCGTAGTTCTCCAGCATGACTTCCCGGTACAGAGCTCTTTGTCCCGGATCCAGCAGGGCCCATTCGGCCTCCGTGAATTCGATGGACACCTCCTCAAAGGAAAAGGGACCCTGAAAGAAAAAGCAGATTCCCTTCTCAGAGATCACGCCAGGCAGAGATTGTACACTGGAAGGGAGTAGTCTGGGAAGGTACAGGATGTAAGGCTTGGGATAGAATCATAGAGTTGGAAGGGGCCATAAAGACCATCTAGTCCAACCCCCTGCCCAATGCAGGACCAGACTAAAGCATCTCTGATAAATATCCATCTAGCTTCTTCTTGAAAGCTGCCAGTGAAGGGGAGCTTACCACCTCCCTAGGCAGCTGATTCCACCTTTGAACCTGGGTAAAGGGAACGGCATTCAGAAGAATGGGTTGAAATTAAATCAGAAGAGTTTTCAGCTAAACATTAGGGAGACCTTCCTGACAGTTAAGAGTGGTTCCTCAGTGGAACAGGTTCCTTGGGAGGTGGTGGGCTCTCCTTTGGAGGTTTTCAAAGAGAGAGTCTGGATGGCCATCTTACAGCAATGCTGATTGTGTGAACTTAGGCAGGTCATGAGAGGGAGGGCAGGAAGGATTGCATCACTGCTTAGTTCTGTGGCCTTTTCTTACACGCCCAGGGAAATGTTGATTGCCACTTTGGGGTCAGGAAGCAATTTTTCTCCAGGCCAATTTGGCCAGGGATCCTGGAGATTTTTTGTCATTCTTCTGGGCATGGAACAGTGGACACTGCAGGTGTGGAGGGAGAGGTATTTGTGAATTTCCTGCCTTGTGCAGGGGGGTTGGACTAGATGACCCAGGACATCCCTTCCAACTATATGATTCAATATAGAATTATTCAATATAGAATATAGAAAGAGGCTCTGGCCAGGTGCCCTGGCCTTGGCCACTCAGCATCAATTTGCTGTGGTGACCTCAGCAGGGCATAATCTCCAGGGGAACTGATCTCTGCCATCTAAAGAGCAGCTGTAATTCTGAGTGATCTCCAGCCCTCACCTGGAGACTGGCAACAATGGTTGCCCAGGAGGAAATGGCTGGTTGGGACGATGAAGTCTATGGACCTGTCTGAGGTCCCACCCCTCCTCCAACTCCAATCTCTCCAGGCTCCACCCCTCAAATCTCCAGGAATTTCCCAACCTGGAATTGGCAACCCTATCTCCTTCCCAACCAACCATCAGTCTACTGTTATCTGCCCCTCTGACCTCAGGTTTCCAACTCCTCCCTGCAGCCTCTACCTAGGAAAAGTACAGTCTTTGCAGTGGGGACTAAAGCCGCTTATTTATTTATTTATTTATTAATCAGATTTATACCCCGCCCTCCCCCGTAGGGCTCAGGGCGGCTTACAAGGCAAGAAATCTTGCAACAGTAAAACATACTATTCCTATAATTAAAACATACTATACAGTTTAAAATCCCAGTACAATTAAAGTGCTCGATGATCTTCAGTTCCAAAACCCCCCAAAAAACTGGGGGACCACGTCCAGAAGTTCCCAATAGTCATTCTCCTCTCCCCGTTTTGATCTGCACAACAATCCTGTCAGGTACGTTAACTGAAAGTCTGTGACTGGTCCAAAATCATCCACTCAGCTTCCACAACAATAACCTGGGTCTGGCAGATCCTGCTCTGAAGCACCAACTGCTATGCCACAGTGACTGTCTTAGGGGGGCTGCTGCTGGTGAACAGGAGCAAGCCATATATGAGAGACATCCTAGTAGATACAAGATCAGAGTTATAGAAACAACCAGGGAAACGTTTTGTATATAATGCAATAGATACTATATTGAGTCTTCATTTCGCTCCTAGACTTCCTCAGAATTGTGATCAGAATGTATTGTGATCTGTTTATAATATTGAGATTCTTATGTATGAATTAATAGATGGTATTTTATTGATTGTATTTTATGAATTTATTAATTAAGCACTTTAAAACTTAATTTACACTTTGTATAAGATTTCAATATAGTATCTATTGCTCTATATACAAAACGTTTCCCTGGTTGTTTATGACGCCTGGTGGCTTGCCAGTCAGGTGTCATCAAGTCACCCAGAGGGCACTGTCAGGCCTAGAATAACCAACCTCCAGGAAGAGCCTGAAGATCACCTGGTATCTCAACTGAACTCCAGACGACAGTTCTCTCTCTCTCCCCCTGGAGAAAATAACTGCTTTGGAGAGTGAACTCTATGGGATCCTATTCACCTGAGGCCTCTCCCCTCCCCAAACACTGGCTTCCATTGACTCCACCACAAAATCTCCAGAAATTTCCCAACCTGGAGCTGGTAACCCTAGTCAGAACTGGCCCCAAGGAGTTCCCCACAAAGGCCAAAGTAGGCCTGGAAAGGGCCTCCTGCCCCTGCCTTTTTACTGACTGAACCAAGCTTGGTTGCCTAGCAACAGCCACTGAGGGGGAAATTAGGCCATAAGCAGAAGAAGGGAATGATTTGATGGCCACTGGCTCACCTCAGTAGCCAGCCTGCCTTGGAGGAGCCAAGCAGGAGTAGCGGCAGCAGTAGAAGACTCTTCCTGAACAGGGAACAGTCATTTCTATAGCCAGCCAGATGACGAAGTGTCTTTGTCAGGAGAGACAGCCGTTTTGGCAGTTTATTCTGACAGGGAACAGTGGCTGAGGCGGCAGCTGGAGGGGAAGAGGAGCGGACCCAGCACCCAACCAATGGCACATGAGTACTCGAGTGGTGGTTGACTGGCCAAAGGCTGATGGAGTGAACAGCACAGTCAACGGGAAAGCTGGAAATGGCCAATACATTGGACAATGATATATAGGAAGATAAATAGGTTTTATTTGAGAACTCTGGTCTCTCTGTATTGATTCAGTCCCTTGCCAGTCTCCACCCAACCAATAAAAGAACTAAAGGGGAATGGGAGGGTCCCAGGGAAACAGTCTTGGGGTCCCAGAATCCCGCAACACTCATCTCTCCTACCTGGACTGGAGGTACGGCAGCCGCTTCCACACCTGTGAAAAGATGTCGGCTCAATAGCATTTCTTCACTGCCTTTTCCTGAGACAAAGAAGGAAGGAAGGGTGTTGGCTTGCTTGTTCACTGCTTCATGCACCTCCTTCCCAGGGTTGCGAAACCTCGCCCTGTGTACACTCAGTACATTTTTAAACACTTTTTACTAAATTCTGGGAGAGGCGGAAGAGAAGCATATGGTACCCATGAGCCTCAGGGATTATAAATGCGACCAACATATTTCAGACTTCTGTGTGACCCGTGTTTGCTCTGTGGGGAGGGAAAGATGTTGCATGACATGTCACCGTCACATTCGGAACCAGACGTGACTTGAGCGCATCTGGATACTTAAGGGTAATATGAGTGCGTTTTCAGAGTGTCTCTTGGCAGGCTCACTTCCCAACCAGCTTTTCAGCCAGACACAACATAAACATGACATCACATCTGTCCCAAGCCCCTCCCCAGAGGTCCTCCCCAAAGCTCCTGGGGGTGCCCAGCCACAGCCTGCCACCCGTCCCCCCAGTACACTGTTTCCCACAGCGGCCTGCCCGATGCCCCTTGAAGCACAGGCACAGAAACCACATTTCCCCAATATTATTGGCCCCGAGGAACTGGTTTCCAGAGCTCTGCTGCCGCAGAAGGTGGAGGCTCATTTTATCCACCAGTCTGAAGTGTTCTGCCGAGGTCTGTCTACTTCCCCACCACCACCAGCAACTTGATTTCTTTTTATAGGAGTGTCCCGGCTCAGGTGGGGTGTCACCTGACGCTGCCACCACTCTGGATTTAGGATCCCTTGAGAAGGCCCAGAGCACCCTCCCAAGACCTTCAGACCTCCCTTATTTGGCCGAATGATAGGCGTGAGGACCAGGCAGAGTAAACAGCAAAGGAGAGGTTTATTTTTACAGGAGGTCAGCCCAATGTGGGAAACAAAGAAGGTGGGTGAAGGGAAAAGAAACCAAATACCTTAACGCGACTAGCCTCATAGTCCCTAGTCCACTGTCACACTTGGGCCTGCGTCTGCTCAACCTCCCTCTCAGGGTGAGGGTCTCTCCCAGCAGCAGCCTTTCCTCTGGCCTAGCTCTCTTGGAAGAAAGAACAGCTCTTCTTCTGCACCAGGTCTTTTATTATAAGTCCCCTTTCTCTGTGATTGGCTAAAAGTGACGCCAAAACCTCCCACGGGCTTCTGGGAGCTGTAGGCCTGGCCTCCTCCCACTGCTACTCAGGCTCCCTGGGCCTACTAAGCCTTTACTGGCACAGTCCAGATCATGACAGGAAGGAAGGTGAGATATGAACTTTTTAAATAATGGGAGAAATTGCCCTGCAGGAATGTGTCTGATCTCTTGGAGGCATCAGAGTGAGTGGACATTGAGTGCTGCAAATTAACTCTTTGTTGTGTGTAGAACCATTTATTTTTACCTGACCTGGTCTCTTTACCCATGACATCTACGGGGTGCCCCAACTGCATCCAAGAACGCTGGGTCCTTACCAAAGAAGTGGGGATCTTGGGCACACTCCATGGCCTGCGCCCTCTGCCCTTGCTCCAAGGAAGCTCCTTCCACTTCAGGGATTGTAGCTTCCATCTTCAGGGATGGTCCCCACATCTGAAAACAGCAGCAAGGGAGAAGGGTGAGAGATGGGATGGAAAAGAGACCAAGGAATGGATCCTGCCCCACTCCCAGACTCTGCACCCTTTCATCAGGAGACCTGCTGAGTTATCTGGAGGAATAAGAAATTCTGTAGTAGAAGAGGCTGCTGAAGGAGGCCATGAAATCTCCCATTTGGATGATTCACACTTGGACAAATATCTCCCAGGGACACTTCAGGATAAGGCCAGATATTGTGACCTGAATTGGACACACCTGGAGGGAATCCCCTCACCTGCTCTGCCTGCCTCTTCTCCTCTGCCTGACTCAGGAGGAAGCCTTCGGCCAGGGCCACCGCCTGGGAACTGATATCCGGCCCACATCCTCTGACCCCGCACTGGGTCAGGCCAGAAGCCCCTGTGCTCCCACCACCATGGGGAGGTAGGGGGGTCACGTGGAGGTTTTTATACCCCACTTTTCTCTGCCTTAAGCCATCTCAAAGCAATCCCCTTTCTTTACCCTCCCCACAACAGGTACCGTACTTTGTGAGGGAAATGGGGTTGAGTTTTGGGAGAACTGGGACTGGACCAAGGCCACCCGGCAGCTTCACGTGGAGGAGTGGGGAATCAAACCCGACTCTCCAGATCAGAGTCCGTCACTCTTCAACATGACACCATTCAGAGTTCAGCAGGTGCTGATTTCCTGCCAGGGAGCATTTCTCCCCTGCTCTAATCAAGCAGATCCCACTTGGCCTCCCACCTCTGCCCCTCCTGGCTGGAAGAGATCAGGGCACCGGGAGGATCTGGAATCACAGAAACCCACACACCCAGAGCTGGCCAGTCCCTTCGACAAAGAATGAATGGGCAGCAGTCTTGACAACACAGGGTGCGGACCTAGTGTCGTCCATGGCGGCACTGGGACTCTCCCAATTCATAACGACTCCCACTCACCGGGCCACTCACGCTCGATTTGATCTTCGCGGCTGGGGTAACAGTGGACCGGATTACTGCTTTGGCGGTACCATGGTCGGACCACCATGCCCTGAAGGCCCGTCTGAATGTTCCACCCCGACCCTGTTTAGGCGGCGAGCATATTTTAGCTCGCCTGTGGAGCCTAATGGACCCAATGCAGCTTCAGAGGGCCCTGCAGGATCCGATGCCCCCCCCCCCCTGCTTGTCTAATGTTAGCCGACTCTCTACGGCCATTGACGAGATCGCTTCCGGCGCCCTCTGCGGTCCCGCTCCAAACTTGCTCCATGGTATACCCAGGGGCTGAGGGGTATGAAGCGGGAGTTAAGATGGCTAGAGAGACGGTGGTGACGTGTTCGTGACGAAGCCACAAGAGCATCTTATAGGACGTTTTTGAGATCCTATGAGATGGCAGTCAAGGCTGCAAAGAGGGTGTTCTTTGCAGAGATTGCGTCCAGTAGCTCACGCCCAGCCCAATTATTTAGAACGATTCGGCCCATAACAGCCCAAATGCAAGGGAATTGGAGATCAGCTGTGAGGCTTTTGCGAGCTATTTTGCGGATAAAGTCTTGACGCTTCGCCGTGACCTCCCCACCACACTTGAAACAGTGAGTGAACTCGAGGCCCCTTGCACATCTGCATCAGTTTTGGATTATTTCGACCTGCTCAGCATGGAGGAAGTTAACAGATTACTCGTAACTGTATGCCCAACCACGTGCGTCCTTGATCCGTGCCCTTCCTGGCTCATTAAAGCGGGCCATGAGGGGTTTCGAGGAGCTCTTAGGGAGATTATCAACAAGTCCCTCGCTGAGGGACGGTTCCCGGGAGCTCTCAAGGAGGCGATGGTCCGTCCTCTCCTGAAAAAAAACATCTTTGGATCCGGCCGAATTGGCCAATTATCAGCCAGTCTCCAATTTGCTCTATTTGGGCAAATTGATTGAGAGGGCGGTGACGGTACAGCTTCAGGGTTGCTGGTGCTTACATTTAAAGCCCTACATGACCAGGGTCCGACCTACCTGAGGGACCGCCTTTCCCCATATGTACCCCAGAAAGCACTACGGTCAGGGGCCCAACATCGTTTGACTATTCCGGGCCCCAAGGATGCAAGGATCACCAGTACTAAGGCCGGGGCCTTTTCAGTGGCGGCCCCCTACTGGTGGAACAAGCTCCCGGAGGAGATCAGGGCCCTGCGGGACCTTTTACAGTTCCGCAGGGCCTGCAAGACGGAGCTCTTCCGCCAGGCCTTCAAATAGGAGCCGCCACTATTGTTACCACCAATTATCCCATTGAACTTCTGGATCCAAGGACTGGCCCAGATGCATCGCTAGGCCTCTATCTGCTCGAGGGATGATGACCGGACGAGCAACGTGAATTTAGATCTGGAAAGCACGCCATCTAACCTTTAGCACTGCGAGCACTTTATTGCTAACTGAGAATTTCGTGTAATATGAATGAGTATGTATTTTATGTAGTTTTAAATTTTTATGGTTATGCCAATTAGGTACATTGTAACACTTTGTTAGCCGCCCTGAGCCTGTTTGCAGGATGGGCAGGGTATAAATATAATTAATAAATAATAAATAACATGTAAAGACCACCGGGAGGGACATTTTAACTTTCCAGGGCATTCAGTCGCTGCTGACTTAGGAGTAGCGGTTTTCTGACAAAGTAATTCCAAAGGGAGATCAGAAGGAGAGACCGCTGAATTGGAGCTGATAACAAAGCTCAAGATGTTTTGAAGCCTATCTGGGCATCAGATCAAACAGAGGACAAGACTATCAAGCCTATTCGTTTTTAGAAAAAGAGGACAGAAACACGATTCCTTTTTTAAAAGGCAGATGAGCTTTAGGGGTCCTTCAGTGGCTTTTTTTCTACAATGCAGAAATCTCTTAGACAAAGATAATGAAAAGTTGTAAGTCTGGCAACCAAACCATTCCCCTTCCTGCCCCCGTGTGACCCAAATACTCACCAGGTTCCCCTTTGGCCCGTACGGACCATCCACGCCACACACGGCCTGCCGAGCGACACACGGAGAGATGGGGGTGTTATGTGCCACTCCTTCCACTTGCAAACCTTCCCCTGCAGACTTTGGCGAAGTGGTTTTTCTTCAAACAAAGAAACAATACAACTCCATCTTAAAGAGATATACACCACACTCCTGCAGAGTGCAGGGGGTTGGACTAGATGACCTGCAAGGTCCCTTCCAACTCTAACATCCTATGATTCTAGGATTCCTACCTACATGGACCCTGAGTGCATCACTTTGTACAGATGTGCAGGAAATGAAAGGGTACCTGCCCCCGTGCCCCCCCACCCCACAATGCTTTCAAGGTGAACACAGGGGTAGGATGAATTCTCCCAACTTTGTTCTTTCTAAGCAAGGCAAGGCAGAGAGTCTTTTTGAGGCTCAGGGTCATCCTCCTCCACACTCTGCCTCTGTCTCTCCCAGCTTCTGGGTATTTTAGCAGCGGGTGGATAACCTCTGTTGCCAAACACTGTACAGCGGTTGCTGTAGATTTTCTGGGCTGTGTGGCCATGGTCTTGGCATGGTAGAACCTGACGTTTCGCCAGTAGCTGTGACTGGCATCCTCACAGGTATAAACACAGAAAGATGGAATACTCTCTGCGTCAAGGTGAGAAGAAAATGGTAGGCGGTTAATTTATGTCTACTCCAGAAGTTGGGTTAGGGCTGAGTCATTGTCTTGTAGGAGTTCCCCGGGCTATGGACATGCTAATAGAGGAGCTTTCCTGAGGAGGTTCTTTTGTTTCCTGAGGAGGTTTCCTGCTTCCTGAGGAGGCTGTTGAAATTCTAATCTTATCTGTAGTCCTATTGTCAGATGTAGAGCCTTTTGTGTTTTCCAGGACAGGAAGCCATGTCCTATTTATTTTTAAACTCTCTTCTTTCCTGTTGAAACTGTGTTTACGTTTGTGAATTTCAATGGCTTCCCTGTGTAATCTGACATGGTAATTGGATGTGTTGTCCAGCCCTTCAGTGTCTTGGAACAAAATACTGTCTCCTGTTTGAGTTAGGCTATGTTCAGCCACTGCTGATTGTTCAGGTGGGCCAAGTCTGCAGTGTCTTTCATGTTCTTTTATTCCTGCCTGTAATCTACGCTGTGTGGTCCTGATGTAAACTTGTCCACAACTGAGACCCACCAGAAAAATACAACAGATGCTACGATCAGCAAAAGACAGATGAGACCCCCTCACTTCTGCGGGAGTATACCGCATACCATGCCAAGACCACGGCCACACAACCCAGAAAATCTACAGCAACTAAACGTTTTATCTCCTTGAGTGCTGTTCGGGAGAACACAGCCCCGATCCTTTCAGTTTTCAGAAGCCTGTGGTACAGGCACATGGCACCTGGGCCTTTGCTGAGTCCTGAGTTGCGCCATCTTTCCCAGAATCCAATGCAGGCAACGAAGACCAGGTGGCACCTACCGGTTCCCTAGGAAGCCCACGCGGTCCCACATCTCCGTCAGCCCCCTAAAAGGAAAGAAAGAATCTCAGTGTCCACTGCGGGGGGCGGGGATTCAACTCAGAGAGGTGCCCCCCCCACAATAGCTGCACTATTTAACTGGGCATGAGACCTTGATGAGGCACCTCCCTTCTCAGCCCAAGGACCTCAATTTTCAGCAACTGTTCAGTTGTTTCAGTTCTCAGCAACTGTTCCTGTTTTTAGGGAAAAGCAGAGCTCAGCGGCTCCTTGGCCTGCCATGTGGGGTTCTTCTGGGCATGGTCCCTCCCCCCGTGGCCCCCAATCCACATTCCAGGGAAGGGAACAGGGCCTGGGGTTCCCACAGTAAGAGGCACCAGAGAACACGGAAGCTGCGAGCCTCGTGCCAAGGAGGGAGGGGAAGGATCCACCCTCCCCTACAAGAGGTGAGGTGCCAGAAGATTGGAGGCGCGGGAAAAGGTGGATCCAGGTAACGACCAACCCCCTCAGCTTGAGGCCTATACCTGGGAAAGTTTTAGAACGAATCATCAGTCAGTCCTTGAACAATTAGAACGGATGGCTATGATTATTAAGAGCCAGCAGGGGTTTCTCAAGAACAGGTCATGTCAGACTAACCTTATCTCTTAAAAAAAGAAGTTACAACCTTGCAGGAACAGGGGGATGCTGTAGACATAGCTTATCTTGATGTCAGTAAGGCTTTTGATAAAGTTCCACATAATATTCTCGTAAAATGCAGTTTAGTCCCTATGACTGTTAGGTGGAATTGTAAGTGCTTGACAGGTCACACCCAAAGGGTGCTTGTGAATGGTTCCTCATCCTCTTGGAGGGGAGCGATAAGTGGAGTGCCTCCAGGATGTGTCCTGGGTCCTGTTCTGTTCAACATCTTTATAGACTATTTAGATCAGTGGTTCTCAACCTTCCTAATGCCGCGACCAATGTTCCCTCTAAGCTGTGGAGTCTTGTGAGCAAAAATTCTACTTTGTGAGCTACTAGCATTAAAGTTGTGAGCAGGAAATTTGGCTACTGCATAAATTAGTTTGCTCTGGAGCCAGCCTTCCTGAACGAAGACAAAAATGTCTGAGCCGGAGGCTAAAAAACTGTGAGCGAGCTCACACTAACTCAGCTTAGAGGGAACACTGGCCGTGACCCTTTAATGCAGTTCCTCATGTTGTGGTGACCCCCAACCACAACATTATTTTCGTTGCTATCGTAAGACCATCAAAAATTTGTGTTTTCCGATAGGCAACCCCTGTGAAAGGGTCGTTCGACCCCCAAAGGGGTCGCGACCCACAGGTTGAGAACCTCTGATTTAGATGAAGGAAGAGAGAGAATGCTTAATAAATTTGCAGAGGATACTAAATTGGGGGAGGGGGAGCAAATACGGTAGAAGACAGAGTCAGGATACAGGATGATCCTGACAGGCTGGAAAACTGGGCTGAAACGTATAAAATGAACTTTAAGAGGGATCAATGTAAAGTCCTGCATTTAGGTAGGAAAAATCAAATGCATCATTATAGGATGGGGGAGACTTGTCTTGGCAGTAGTGTGTGAGACAAGGATTTGGGGTCTTAGTGGACCATACACTGAACATGACTCAGTAGTGTGATGCGGTCGCTCCCAGAACTGCAGCTCTCCTGCAGACTGGAGAGGTCAGTTCCCCTGGAGAAAATGACCCCTCCAGAGAGTGGACCGGGTGGCCTCGTACCCTCCTGAGGCCCCTCCCCTCCCCAGGCTCCGCCCCCCGAGTCTCCAGGACTTTCCCAGCCCCGGTCCTATGGTCTTCTCTCTGCAGGGCGACTGGGGCTTAGATGGACTCCCAGGCCTGCCAGGGGAAAAGGGGAGTCAGGTGAGGGTGGCAAACAGGGCGGGGAGGGCGTCCACAAGGCCAGGGAGGGAGGGCAGGCAGGCCACAGTGACACCCCCCCCTCCATCGTCGTATCCCTTCTTTGAAATAAGTTGTGTGTGTGCAGGGCTTTTTTTGTAGAAAAAGCCCAGCAGGAACTCATTAGCATAATAGGCCACACCCAACAACAGAACTCGTTAGCATATCCAGCCACACCCATGAGAGGATAGCTCATTAGCATATTAGGCCGCACCCCCATGTTACCAGAAGTGTCGACATCCAGCCACACCCACCTTTTGCTTCTTATTCTGTTTACCTTGTTTGTTGTCAAAACCCAGGGCCTTTTTTTGTAGCAGGAACTCCTTTGCATGTTAGGCCACACACCCCTAATGTAGCCAATCCTAATGAGTTCCTGCTGTTGGGTGTGGCCTGTTATGCTAATGAGTTCCTGCTGGGCGTGGTCAACTTGGGAGCCAGCCGGAACTCCGTTCCTGTGCGTTCCTGCCCAAAAATAGCCCTGTGTGTGTGCGTGTGCGCACTGCCCGTTCCCACAGCCGCAACAGCCTCCGGATAGTGTGTTTTGCACACTGCGCTACACCCTGGGAATGACTATGGTGAGCCAACTGCACTGGAGCCTTTCCCCGCAAAATGCCTCCTTTGCATGGCGTGTGTGTGTGTCTGGGGGGGTTGTCTGTCAAATATAAGGAGCAACTTCCTAACTTTAAGAGTGATTGAGCAGGGGAACAGTCTGCCTCGGGAGGTGGTGGGTGCTCCTTCGCTGGACGTTTTCAAGCGGAGGCCGGACGACCATCGTTCGGGTATGTTGTAGGCAATGTTCCCTTGAAACTGTGGAGTCTTGTGAGCAAAAATTCTACTTTGTGAGCTACTGGCATTGAGGTTGTGAGCGAGCAATTTGGCTCCTGCATAAATTAGTTTGGCTCTGGAGCCCTCCTTCTTGAGCGAAGGCAAAAATGAGTGAGCCGCAGGCTAAAAAACTGTGAGCTAGCTCACACTAACTCAGCTTAGAGGGAACACTGGTTGTAGGTATGTAGGGCTATCTTCCAGCTGTGCTCCTGCAGAGTGCAGGGGGTTGGACTAGATGACCTGCAAGGTCCCTTCCAACTCTAACGTTCTATGATTCTATGATTCTAACCCACGTCCAGGCCGGCCTCTGTGTCTCCTGCCCCCTGCTGGCATCCAGTTGCCACAACACCTCCACTCCAATCAACAGCCCCCCCCCAATTTCTGCAGAGCCTCCTCATCTTCCCCCCCCCCCACCTCTTTTCTTTCTCTGCCTCCACTTCTGCCCTACGGACCCTGACTGGTTTTAAACTGGCTCCGTTCTCATCGCTTCACCCCCGGGAATCTCGGGAACTGTCTAGGGCTGCCTTCCTCTCTTCCCCCCCTGCCCCGCGTGACCTCAGGTAGAAATCCGGCTGGTGAAGCCTCCCCTCCTTACTGTGCATGCACCTGTTGAATTTTTCGCAGCTGCTCAGACTCCCACAAACCCCTCACAGAACTACAGGTCCCAGAGTTCCTGGGGAAGGGCTGGCCAATAGAAATCCGGCTGGTGAAGCCTCCCCTCCTTACTGTGCATGCACCTGTTGAATTTTTCGCAGCTGCTCAGACTCCCACAAACCCCTCACAGAACTACAGGTCCCAGAGTTCCTGGGGAAGGGCAGGCCAAGTTCGCCATGGAGAGGTGGCCGGTGCGTCTCTTGCTGGCCAGCCCAGGCTTACGGCTTCTGTTTCTCTCCCCCTCCACACCAGGGTGACCCCGGCGCGCAAGGCTTCCCTGGCCCCCACGGTGAAGACGGCGAGAGGGTCAGTGGCGGCGGAGGGAAAGGGGGGGGGATGTCACAGGGTGAGGACTTGTGTGGAGAGCAGCGTAGAGCAGAGCACAGGACGGAAGGCCTCGCAGACCTCAAAGGGAGAGGTGCCGGGGCTCCGGGGCCGTGCCCCTCAATCTCAGCTACACTTGGAGGCTGCAGCGGGCTCCGGAGGGAGTGGCGGAGCAGGAGGGGCAGGTTCTCGGCTGGGGGGGAGGGAAGCGTCCCAAAGGCCACGGCGGGAGAGGGCGCGGGGCCAGGACGGGGGATTCGTCGCCACAGCCAAGGACCCACTTACCTGGGTCCCAACGTCTCCAACTTCAACCTTTATGTCGGGGTTCTCAGGTTGCTCCTGGAAGGGAAAAGCACGGAGGTTACCTCTGTGGCCCTCCCCCAGCCGTGAGAGCCAGTTTGGTGTCGTGGTTCAGAGCGGCGGATTCTAATCCGGAGAAGCAGGTTCGGTCCCCCACTTCGCCACTTGAAGCTAACTGGGTGATCCCGAAGGCCCAGCAGCGAGGAGAGCTCCTTCCGCACCCCACGACAGCTCCACTGAAGACGCCCAGAGGCAGGGGAGGGGAAATCGGGCTGCCCGGACCAGGCGAGGTAGGTGGGGCTGAGAGAGCTCTTTTGAGAACTGCTCTGAAGGGAACAGCTCTGAGAGAACTTGTGACTGACCCAAGGTCACCCAGCGGCTGCATGTGGAGGATGGGGGAGTCAGACCAGATTAGAGTCCGCCACTCTTAACCACCCCTCACCATCTCCATTGCCCTCCTTTGGACATGTTCCAGCTTGTGTATATCCTTCTTTAACTGTGATGCCCAAAACCGAACACAATACTCTAGGTGAGGTTTAACCAGAGCAGAGTAAAGCGATACAATCACTTCGCGTGATCTGGACACTGTAGTTCTGCTGATGCAGCCCAAAATCGTATTTGCCTTTGTAGCTACCGCATCACACTGCTGACTCATGTTCAGTGTACGGTCTGCTAATACCCTGAGATCCTTTTCACACATACTGCTGCCGAGACAAGTCTCCCTCATTCATCTTCTCCTTCTCTTTTTATGAGTTTGAGGTAATATTGTCCAAGAGATCCTGAAGGTCTTTTGCCTTCCTCTGGGCACACAGCAAGGGTCACTGGGGAGTGGGCGGGGGGGAGGTAGGTGTGAATTTCCCGCGTTGTGCTGGGGGTTGGACTAGATGACCCCTGAGGTCCCTTCCAGCGCTACGTTTCTGTTTTTAATTTACAGATCGTGTTTATGCTTCTTTTTGGTTTGCAATTTCTGTAGCTTTAAAAAAAACTTTGTTGCTGTTCAGTCGCACAGTCGAGTCCGACTCTTCGCGACCCCATGGACCAGATCACGCCAGGCCTTCCTGCCTTCCGCCGTCCTCTGAAAAAAACTTTACAAAGACCGAAAAAATCCTAGGAAAACTACCCCGCATCATAACTGTGTCAACAAAAGAATGTTGCCAGCACACGTTCTAGGCAAGGGAGAGAGCCAGGGTCCAGGAGCACCCTAAAGACTACTCCAATTGGTGGCGAGGTGGAAGCTTCTTTGAGTCACGGCTCACTTCTTTGGGGAATCAAAGCCGCTGGCTTGGTGGGGGAGGCAGAATGAGTGGGGGGGGGGGCTCCACCCCCCCCCAGCTTCCCCTC